ACCCTAAACCCTAAACCCTAAACCCTAAACACTAAACCTAAACCCTAAACCTAAACCCTAAACCCCCCCCCCCCCCCCCAACCCTTGCTGCAGTCAAATCGACACCGCATCTCCTGTGGCCCAGGACCAAGATGAAGCGACAGCCAAGCTGCTCCTGGTGCTCTTCCCCTAGGCCCTCAGGTTCAGGGTTTAGGGTTTAGGGTTTAGGGTTTAGGGTTTAGGGTTTAGGGTTTAGGAATACCCCATAGGGGAGTTTTGGGCTGTAGGATTCGGGATTATCCTAGGAAGTCTCGGAAACATTGCTCCCGACCCGACGAAACCAAATACCTGCACTTGAATCGCGGTTAGTTATATAAGTAGGGCTCTCGTTGTATGTTATAGCTACAGTTCCGCGTGTTGATAACTCTGCGTGCTATCTACCCATGAAGCATAAGAAAACATCAGCATTTAGGGTTTAGGGGTTTGGGTTTTAACCTGCAAGGAACCCGAAATGCTACATCCCAACCCTAGACCCAGGTAAACCTTGCGACCCCCCACTCCTAAATGGCATGGACCCCAGCCCCAACCCTAAACGCTCGACCCTAAACCCCAAAAGCCCAAGATCCTCCAACCCGAACCTAAAACCCTCTTCAATAGGCCATAAATTGCCTGACCCCAAGCACCCCCCCGAAGGCTTCTTGACGACTTCGGTCTAGGTTTAAGGTTTAGGGTTTAGGGTTAAACTCTAAACCCTAAACCCTAAACCCTAAACCCTACACCCTAAACCCTAAACCCTAACCTTTAGGTTTGGAGCGGGGCGGGGGCTTCTCCGGCTGCCATGGCACCGTGCAAAATTCCAAGCTGGCCACCATGCTGCCGTTGGCCTCAGCTCTAGGGCGCGAAGATGTTCAGGGCCTAAGGGGCTTTGTACGAAAGTCAAACCCTAAACCCTAAACCCTAAACCCTAAACCCTAAACCCTAAACCCTGAACCCAAAAAAAGGAAACTGCAATTGGAGGTGAAGGCCGGGCCGGGCTTGGCTTGGGGTTGTTCGGGTGAGGCTTAGTTTAGGGACCCTAAACCCTAAACCCTAAACCCCAAACCCTAAACCCTGAACCCTAAGGGTTGGTTTAGGGCTTGGAGGGGCGGGGGCGCCAAAGTTCGTTTCGCTAGGGCGGCCAGGCTGTGGGGACTTCGACCCCTCGTAGGCTGTGCGATGTTTTGGGGGGCCCAGGGCACGTTTACAGGGAATCATGCGGTTGAGGGTTGAGAGTTTAGGTATTTTGCTCCCTGCAAAAACACTAATTACACTACTTACAAGGCTCCGTACTATAATGCTGTGGAAGCCTCCAAGAAACCGCAACTAAGAGAACTGGTCAAGTAGGGGAAAGTATCTACTCGGTGGGCACATGCTTCGTTTGGGACATAGGCATGGCAAACGGAAACCATGATTTTAGAGTGTAGGGTTTAGGGCTTAGGGTGTAGGGTTCAGGCTTTAGGGTACCTAAGCCCTAAACCTGTAAAAGATCATCGGCGAGGGTTCCAACAAAGCAACGCCACTGGAGATCAATTCGGGTCCCGGGCTTTGGGTTGAGGGTTGGCGCGTCCCGGTACCAGGACACCCCTAAACCCTAAACCCTAAACCCTAAACCCCTAACCCCTAAACCCTAAACCTTAAACCCTAAACCCTGCAAACGAGCGTCGTGGATGCAGGTGTTGCCCGCATTCTTGAAGGCAAAGATGTCGCCTTGGCTGAGGCCGCAGAGACCTATTCTTAATTAGGGTTTAGGGTTTAGGGTCTAGGGTTTAGGGATTAGGGCTTAGGGTTTAGGGTTTAGACAGCCAGACAAGGATCTTTTCCATCCTTTGGCTTTCAGCGCGAAATCCTAAACTCTAACGAGTAGGTTGCCTGAAGCACCCAGCCGGATGGGCACTACACCCAACACCCTAAACCCGAAACCCTAAACCTTATAAACCCGAAACCCTGAACCCTAAACCCGAAACCTGATAAACCCGAAACCCTAAACCCTTAAACCCGAAACCCAAAACCTTATAAACCCTGCGGATCGCACCTGGCAAGGAATCGAAGATCGTCTCCAGAGACGCCTGACAGTCGGAGCAACCTCGGTGCTCCGCGAGGTCGGGAGTCGGGAGGGCTTAGGGTTTAGGGTCTAGGGTCTAGGGTTTAGGGATTAGGGTTTAGGGTTGAGGATTTAGGGCTTAGGGTTTAGGAAAGACAGTATTTTGAAAGGGTTTTGGGTTCCCAACACCTTTTGTACAACCAAAAAGGTTAAAGGCTAACTACCCAGGCTCTGAGTATCAATAGGTGGGTACTTCCAAAAATAAGGTCCCTTTTTTGGGTCCTTGTTATAAGGCGGCACCCTTTAAAAAGGGGTCCCAAAAAGGTACCCTAATTTAGAGAACTACCCTAAACCCTAAACCCTAAACCCTAAACCCTAATTTAGAGAACTACCCAGGTACAAGAGGGCGTTATAAGCATCCGCTGCTTTGGCGGCCCCTTCTGCCGCCCCTGCTAGCACCGCCTTCGCGCGTGATGTTTCTTCGAGCCCAGGTTGCTTGTATACGAAAACACGACTAGGGTTAGGGTTTAGGGTTTAGGGTTTAGGGTTTAGGGTTTAGGGTCTAGGGTCTAGGGTCTAGGGTCTAGGGTAAAGGGTCTAGGGTCTAGGGTTTAGGGTTTAGGGTTTAGGGTTTAGGGTTTAGGGTTTAGGGTTTAGGTTCGGACTGATTTTGGGTCATAGGGTTGGGGGAGTTCAGGTTTTGAGTTATAGGGTTTAGGGTTTAGGGGGGGGGAGAGGGGGCGGGGGGGGAGGGGGGGGGGGGGGGGGGGGGGGGAAAGGTTCCCTTAGCTGGAAAGGATGTTTCGCTTGTCTCTACTATCAAGAACCATAGTGACCCCTCGGAACCCTGCAACCCAAAACCCAGACCCAACTCGATCCCTGTCGCCTAGCACCCCGAAACCCAGCAGCTATACTAAGCAGACAGTAACGTAGGGGCTGAATACCCTAGCCCCCAAAAAGGTTAACCTGTTATTAGCAATAGGGTTATGTATAACCAAAAAGGTTACAGGTTAAACCACCCAGCCCCTAAGGTAATCGGCCCAAGCAGCCCACGATGGCTGCATGTGGAGGCTGACTGAGATCTACATGCTCACGTCGGACGACGTCGTTTCTTCCTGGGCCATTTTGGGTTTGGCTAAACCCTAAACCCTAAACCCTAAACCCTAAACCCTAAACCCTAAACCAGGTTTAGGGCCCAGATCGACCCTGCCAGCTAAAGTTCAGCTCAGGGTTTGGGGTGCTTGTAGGGTTATGTTGAGGTGTAGTGTTTATGGTTTATGACCTAGTTCATGGTTGGGACCGTATTAAAATTTTAGATTTATATTCCTTATTGGGATTAAGTACCCTTGAAAATGAAAACCCTAGACCTTAAACCCTAAACCCTATGACCAAGTATGGTTTTATGCTGAAATACTGCCCCTCGGCTTAGCTGCTCGCGCGTATCGTGGGTGTCTAGTATCTTGGTTTCGGTTCCCTCCCCCAGCGCCCATATCATCTACATGAAGGGTCGAGGGTTTAGGGTTTAGGGTTTAGGGTTTAGGGTTTGGGTTTAGGGTTTAAGGGTTTAAGGGTTTACAACCCGAAAACAAACCCCCAAACGCATTTTGAGGGGAATCTCCTTGGGGACTCGAGATCTTCCTTATAATAGGGGGATCCTACTAGTTGCGGGTCTATATTAGAGGTCCCGTTCTGATCGTAAATCCCCCCCAAAATGGGAGAATGATGCCAAGGTGAACCTGTGAACTTCTGCTTAGGGTTTAGGGTTTAGGGTTTAGGGTTTAGGGTTTAGGGTTTAGGGTTTAGGGTTTAGGGTTTAGGGTTTAGGGTTAAGAGTTCAAACTGTGGCCCAGGATCAGGGCTAGGGTTTAACCCCTAAACCCTAAACCTTGGCTGACTTCTGAACCCCTCCTAAAAGTTTAACTTTTAGGCTCCTTATTGTAGTTTCTACAAAAACCCAAAAGGCGAAAGTCCTAAGAGCCAGCCAGAAGAATTCAAGAAACCCGTGAGTTTTAAACGGGCTTTGAACAAGTTCAGGGTCTAGTCCTAAACCCTAAACCCGAGGACCTCAACGCCGCTACATAGGGTTCTAAACGTGTCTCAAGCGCCACGGCGCGATTGAAGCCTAAGATTTGGACTGGTAGGCGTGCCGATCAAACACCAAAGAGCCTTTAGGCAGGCAACCCTAAACCCTAAACCCTAAACCCTAAACCCTAAACCCTAAACCCTAGATGATTTCGGGCTTCGGGCTTAGGGAGAGCTTCTGGGCCTGGAGGTCGTGGTTTCATGTCCTCCCAATTCGTCTCCTCCTGCCTTTGTTCTTTGGGGTTTAGGGTTTAGGGCTTGGGGTTTAGGGTTTAGGGCTAGGGTTTAGGGTTTAGGGTTTAGGGTTTAGGGTTTAGGGTTTAGGGTTTAGGGTTTAGGGTTTAGGGTTTAGGGTTTAGGGTTTAGGGTTTAGGCGCCGCAGGAGCTTCTCAGCCAAAGTGCGAACGGCCAGGGAAGTGCCTTGGACGAAGCGGTCGTTGCCCTCCTTCATGCAGGGTTTAGGGTTTAGGGTTTAGGGTTTCGGGTTTAGGGTTTAGGTTTAGGGTTTAGGGTAGGGAACCTACTAATTGCTTAAGAACCCCGAAAAAAGATTCTTCCTTATTAAGGTTTATATAGGGGCTATTATTGTTCTTTTATTCTATTTGGGGCTCTTAAGCAAAAGAGTAGGAACAGATGCCTACAATATCTTTGGCGGCCGCAGGGGGAGCGCAAAACCCTAAGCCCCAAACCCTAAACCCTAAACCCTAAACCCTAAACCCTATCTACTTCCCAACTGAAGCCTCTCCCCGCCCCCCACGCCCCTTCGTCCCGAAACAAAGAAAGCGTCGACCATCTGAAGCCTTGACTTGGCCCAGCAATAAAACACTTAGGGGTTTAGGGGTTTAGGGGTTCAGGGGTTTAGGGGTTTTGGGGTTGGGGGTTTAGGGGTATAATTAGGGGGTCTGCAACCCTCAACCCTACAAACCCTGCAAATCCTACACCCCAAACCCTAAACCCTAAACCCTGCAAACCCTCCAAACCAAAAACCCTACAAACCCTACACCCTCAGCACTGTAAACCCTAACCCCTAACCCTAAACCCTAAACCCCAAACCCCAAACCCTAAACCCTAAACCCTAAACCCCAAACCCTAAACCCTAAACCCTAAACCCCAAACCCTAAACCCTAAACCCTGGATCAAACTTACGGAACTCCAGCTCCTCGGGGTGGAGACAGGGACTCATGGTGTGGAAGGGCATTCGTGTGCTTGGGGTTTAGGGTTTAGGGTTTAGGGTTTAGGGTTTAGGGTTTAGGGTTTGGGGTTTAGGGGTTAGGGTTTAGGGTTTAGGGTTTAGGGGTTTAGGGGGGGTTTAGGGGTTTAGGGGTTTAGGGGTTTAGGGGTTTAGGGGTTTAGGGGTTTAGGGGTTTAGGGGTTTAGGGGTTTAGGGGTTTAGGGTTTGGGGTTTAGGGGTTAGGGTTTAGGGTTTAGGGTTTAGGGGTTTAGGGGTTTAGCGGTTCAGGGGTTCAGGGGTTCAGGGGTTTAGGGGTTTAGGGGTTTAGGGGTTTAGGGGTTTAGGGGTTTAGGGCTACAGGCGGCTTGCAGTATTGGGGCCTTTGCTTGGGAGTCCGAGGTTTCTGGTCTCATGTTTAGGGCTTCAGCGGGCTAGATCTTGGAAAAAGCAATCCCTGAACCCTAAACCCTAAACCCTAAACCCTGAACCCTAAACCCTAAACCCGTTCAGCTTGTTCGGCCTGCAGCAGTCTGACCGCATCCTGAGGGTGCATGGGCTCCTTCAGGGCCAGAAGGCAGCTGGCTCTTTGGGGTTTAGGGTTTAGGGTTTAGGGCTTAGGGTTTAGGGTTTAGGATTCAGGGCTTAGGGTTTGGGATGTTCCCCCTCATGAATAGGGATTATGATAGGAGGTTACTATGATCCCCACTAAGGACTGTTAGTATAATATAACGGGGAACGAATTCATTAATTCATGGCTGGGATCGTATTAAAATGCTGAATTTATATTCCTTATTGGGTTTAAGTAACCTTAAAAATGCAAAATGTTACCCAACTATGACCAAGAAATTCGGGTCTTTGGACCCTGAACCCTAAACCCTAAACCCTAAATCCTAAACCCTAAACCCTAAACACCAAAGGGTTTAGGGATTGAGAGGGTTTAGGGCCCTCCATTCCTCTGGGGTGGACCCCGGCTCCCAGGAAAAGCTGTTTACAACCAATACGGCTTTCCTGGCCCTTTCCATTTTTCAATATCTATTAAAACATATATATATGTAAATATATTTATAAATATAACTAGAAAAATGTATATATATATATATATGTGCACCTTTATGCAAATGCATATGATTGCATATGTATTCACATATATGCATGTCGGTGTAGCAGGCGGTTGGTTTAGGAAGACATGTGCAAGCGTCGTCGCCCGGCTGGTTCCCTAAGTGAAGGTCCCTTCTGCGATAGAGGGTTTGGGACGTTCGAAAGGTTTTGGGTTCAGGCTCGGTTTGAGGGCTTAGGGCTTCGGGGTGTGTGCGGTGCTTAAGTTTAGGGTCGAGGGGCATAAGGGAGGATAGGCAAAGCATAGCCAACCATAAACGCGGCTTTGCATTTAGCAAAAAGTAAAAACAAGAACAACGCATCTTTGTCAGCCCACCGCGCAGGGGCGCGGATGAGGGTGTGGGCATGGGATTTCGAAGCCTGCCAAGCCGAAGGTGTAGTTCAGATGCTCAAGGCCTGCTTTTCGTAGGCTTGAACCAGAAACTATACATGTCCTGGGCGCCTTCTTTCCAGTCCGCCGCACCTAACCGGGTGCTTGTGCAGCACTACTCAAAGTAAATAATCTGTGCATATGGATTTGTTCACAAAAGCCAAGGCAAAGCGTGACTTCAGCCTGCGGGGGGGGGGGGGGTAGCAACCAGATTCCACGGATCGAAGCTCCAAGCATCCTGTGAACCAAGCACCCCCAGTACGCCCTGGAGACCCATCCATGTATGGCCCATAGAGGGTTTCGGGTTTACTAGTTCATGGATGGGATCGTACTAGAACTCTAAATTTATACTCCTTATTGGGTTTAAGTACCCTTAAAAATGTAGAATGTCACCCAACTATGACCAAGGTTTCGGCGTTAGCAGCCCCTGGAGGGTTTCGGGTTTTGGGTTGAGGGTTTAGGGCCCATAGAAGGTTCCGGGCTTAGGTTTTACCAGGCGCAGGTTGCTCCACGAGAGCCCTCTGTAGAAGATGGGAATTTTCTGTTTGTAGGGTTCTCTAAGACTCACAGGGATCCTACCCCTTGCCGGGCATCCTAGTCTCGTAGACCCTAAACCCTAAACCCTAAACCCTAAACCCTAAACCCTAAACCCTAAACCCTAAATCCTGTAGAGTAAAGAGACGACGCGGTGTCAGCTCCTCAGTGCTAACGTCGAGGCATCGTAGCGCTTCATCGTCTGGAGCACAGGTGCTTTGGATTTGACGGCAGGACCGTGCAGGGTTTAGGGTTTAGGGTTTAGGGTTTAGGGTTTAGGGTTTAGGGTTTAGGGTTTAGGGTTTAGGGTTTAGGGTTTAGGGTTTAGGGTTTAGGGTTTAGGGTTTAGGGTTTAGGGTTTAGGGTTTAGGGTTCATTGTTGGGATCGTATTAAAATTCTTAACATTTATATTCCTTATTGGGCTGAAGTACCCTTACAAATGTAAAATGTAACCCAACTATGACCAAGGAATGGGTTCTAGGAAGTATGAGTCCCCTAATCGCCCCGGTATATGTCTTGGCGTGAAAGTTTGGGACCCGAAGCGATTGATGACCACATAGTCCATTCTTAAACCCTAAACCCTAAACCCTAAACCCTAGACCCTAAATTTCTGGCCAAGATTTGTGTTTTTGGGTTCGAACTTCCGGGTCCACAGTAGAGTTGCCTATAGATCTCCTGGAAATGCATGCAGACTGGGAATTCAGCTCAAGCCAGCGCCCCTTCAGTAAAAGCATGAAGCCTGCCCAAAGAGTTTAGGGTTTAGGGTTTAGGGTTTAGGGTTTAGGGTTTAGGGTTTAGGGTTTAGGGTTTAGGGTTTAGGGTTTAGGGTTACCCATGTAGCCTACAAACTTCTAGACACCCCAGACTCGAAACTTAAACCTGAACCCTAATTCTCAACCCTGCGAGATTGTAAGGTTCCCAAGCAAGACTACGGGGCATGCTCGTTCAAACTTTAGTTCAAATCGAACCCCCCCCGCCCGCCCTCCCCCAAACCCTCAACCCGGAATCCACAAACCTGGTTCTCTCCCTCCCAGGGTCTTACAAAGCGCCATTCCTCCAAACTGGTCCACTGGCTGCACAACCACACAGGGTTTTCGTCTGTGAGCGACTGGTCTGCCCAAGAATGTGTTTATAGTGTTTTTTTTGTTTATGGTTCTTAGGGTTTAGGGTTTAGGGTGTCACCGTCTCGACGACGAAGTGCAAGTGGGCTCCACCACTAGCGCGGCTGGGCCAGCAGTCTGAGCAACCAACTCATGGTTGGGATCGTATTCAAGATTTTAGATTTATATTCCTTATTGGGTTTAAGTACCCTTAAAAATGTAAAATGTTACCCAACTATGACCAAGTGAACCCTAAACCATGAAACCGGCGTTGGTAAAAAAAGGATGCCTTTGATTCTGGCTCGATTCCACGAGATGTCCCAAACTCTAAACCCCTTTGGGGTTTAGGGTCTGAAGCTCAGAGTTCAGGGTTTTTGGGGTCTGAGACTCAGAGTTCAGGGTTGAGGGTCTGAGGCTCAGAGTAGGGTGATTCCAAAGCAGTTAGGTGCAAGCCACCGTTATCCTCCCGACTCAAACATCTCAAATGAGTCAAAAGACGCAAGATGCATCATCCATCATCCGACACGGGCTTGGGCTTTTGAAGTCGAAGCCCTAAGCCCTGACACTTTTCTGGAGCCTGCGGCAAGAGCTCCCGACACGTACCGCACCTTTAACCCCGGACCCTAAGGGGTATATAAGAGGTACCCCTTTAAGGGCCCACACTAAGGAACCATATAACTACACCCAGAGATGAAGCATGAACATGAGCTAGGAATGAAAAGCGGGTCTCTCTTAGTAGAAAAGGGGGGGGGAACCTGGCTCCCAGCCCCTAACCAATGCAGACTAACGGTAAGCATTACTTTGGCGTCCTAGTGATGTACAAGCCTAAAGCACCGAATCCCAAAACCCTGGAACCAAAGAAGCCTTAGACCTTAAGCCCTGAACCCTGGAACCCTCCTACACCCCTAAACCCTAGACCCCACACCCCTAAACCCTAAATCCTAAACCCTGAACCTCTCTTTCATAGATATATATATATGTATATATATATATAAGCCCTAAAGGTGTTCGTGGGCAAGGTCTATTTCTTCGTGGCCAAGGTCCAATTGTTCGTGGGCAAGGTCCGTTTTCGGATCCCCCCAACCAACCCCCCAACCAACCCCCACCGACCCAAAGGGATCTTCTGGACCCCCATTCGGGGCTCGAAACCGTAGGTCTGGGGCAGATGAACGCTTCGAAACCCTACCCCACCCTTATCCGATCTTATCTTGAGTGGTTCGAGGGTGGGGTGGGGGAAAACAAAAAGCATGAGGTTCACAAAATTAGGATTTTTTGTTGTCTAGTAGCGAAAAAAGGGGGCCCGATTGAAAGGTTCGAAGGTGGGATGGACCGCTCCATGACAGAGTGAGGTTGCGGGACAGGGCTTTCTGCAAAATGTAAACTCCATCTTTCTTAATGTTTTGAGATTCTCTGGGTGGGGGGGTATTTGCCTGTCGCTTGAAAAGCTGCTTGACTAGTGAAAGCTAGTACATGAGCTGCTGAACCCTAAACCCTAAACCCTAAACCCTAAACCCTAAACCCTAAACCCTAAACCCTAAACCCTAAACCCTAAACCCTAAACCCTAAACCCTAAACCCTAAACCCTAAACCCTAAACCCCAGCCTGCAGCCCCACGAGCTTCGCAGCTCGGCGAGGTGTCTGTGGAGGTGAGGGAACCCTCACTGCCTTGGGGGGTTTAGGGTTTAGGGTTTAGGGTTTAGGGTTTAGGGTTTAGGGTTTAGGGGTTTAGGGGGTTTAGGGGTTTAGGGGTTTCGGGGTTTAGGGGTTTAGGGGTTTAGGGGTTTAGGGTTTAGGGTTTGGGGCTCAGAGGGCTTCTGGAGGCTCAAGAAAAGCCATGTCCGAAGACCGTCAGGAATTGGGACTCGGTAGGGGTGTTGGGTTTCAGGGATGAACTTTCAAAGCCCTAAACCCTAAAGCCTAAACCCGATGAGGCTTTAGGCTTCGAGATCAGTCTCTGGAGAATCAGGCCGAACTCGGGTGGATTCGTGGGTTTGTGCAACAATGGCTTCGGCGCAATGTGGGGTTTAATGTTAACGTCGCTTTAATAACCCCCCCCCCCCCGCATCTTGTTTTGGTCCCCGGGGTTTGGAGGGGGCAACAAAAAGATGGGGTGTCAATAATTGGAATTGGAATCTGGGGGTCTTCTGGGGGTCTGGGGGGTGTTAGCTGTCAGGGTCTGCTCTGCTTTGTCTTGAAGGGAGCCTCGGAGCTCTTTCAAGCCAGCTCAGCTGAAAAGTCTTCTCTGCAATGGAAATTTTGCATTCCTGGCCGGAAAATATTGCAGTTGTCACCCCATTGTTATTCTCACCGGACCCCCCTATATAGACTTGTTTATAGATTTCAGCCCGGAAACCTCCCGCAATGGAAAGTAGTCTTCGGCTGGGGCCCTCTGGCCCGGCGAATATTGCAATTGCCACCCCATTTATAAATGTGAGGTTAACATTAGGGTTTAGGGTTTAGGGTTTAGGGTTTAGGGAAAGGGTTTAGGTTTTAGGGTCTAGTCTAGGGCTTAGGGTTTAGGGCTCAGAGAGACTGAGCATGTTTCCAAATCAACCCCCGAACCCTGGACCTGCGGTGAGCCTCGAAACGGAACCAAAGACCCCAACTGCACAGTCCTTTCTACACTGGCTGGTTCGTAGTAGGGAATGAGGGAATGAGGCACCCTATATACTCCCTTAAAGCGCACATATAGATGTTAGGGTTTAGGGTTTAGGGGCCCCTGATTCCCTGATTTCCTACAAAGAAACAGGGGGTACACCCGAGCTGAAACTTTTTGATTCGCAGGAAACGAAAGAACTGCAACCATGGAAACTCTAACCATACCACATTCTTTCCTTTCCTACTAACCAGTAGTAATCCCCGTAGACTATACAAAGCCCTAAACCCCCAGACCCAACAAAATGCACCCCGTGAAGTTCTCGTGAAGGGTTTAGGGTTTTAGGGTTTTAGGGTTTCAGGGTTTCAGGGTTTCAGGGTTCAGGGTTTAGGGTTAAGGGTTAGGGTTTACGGTTTAGGGTTTAGGGTTTCGGGTTTAGGGTTTAGGGTCCATGTCCTGTACTTGGCGTCATTGTTTTGTGTAAGGGGTGCCCTTGTGTTGGGGAATTCTCACCTCACTACTAGTCCGGAGCGCGAAGCCCGAAGCCCGAAGCCCGAAGCCCGAAGCCCTAAACCCTAAACCCTAAACCCTAAGCCCTTCCCCCACTTCCTGCCAGCTTCAGCCACCGGCGTCCGATTCCCCATCGCTGGCGTCGATGTCTTGGCCGTGGCCTCGCCACCGGGAAGGGCCGTCTTGGCTAAAGCCCAGACCCCAGGACGCGAAATCGCAGAGGACCTCAACCCTAAACCCTAAACCCAAAACCCGAAACTTTTAAACCCTAAACTTTTAAACCCTAAACCCGAAACCCTAAACTTTTAAACCCTAAACCCGAAACCCTCAACCCTCAACCCCTAGATGCAAGAAGAGGACTCCATATGAGAGGCCTCCATTCCCAAGCACTCCCTCCCACCTCCCGAGAGGGCTGCCAAACATGAGGAGGTTCCCCTTATATGAGTTTAGGTGCAGGGTTTCGGGTTTAGGGTCCAGGGTGTTGGGTTTAGGGTTTAGGGTTTACGCTGTAGGATTAATGTGCAAAGCTCTGCCCAACAGTAAGGACTCGAACAGGGGTTTAGGGTTTAGGGTTTAGGGTTTAGGGTTTAGGGTTTAGGGTTTAAGGTCATGATTTCGAGCTCACCGCTGGCGTGGCATACCGCAATGCACCGCTTGCGCCCACAAGTCCATCTTAGGGCTTTCAGGGTTTAGGGTTTAGGGTTTAGGGTTTAGAATTCAGGGTTTAGGGTTTAGGGTTTAGGGTTTAGGGTTTAGGGTTTAGGGTTTAATCTCAAGCTCCGCAGCCCTCAAAAACAAGAAACGAACCTAAAGCTCCCAAACAAAACGCTGAGCCCTACCCAGAGGCTGCAATGTCGTTCCTTTTGGGGTGAGCTATAGGGGATTCTAGTATACTACCCACACAGGTGCTACATAGGAGCAAAACCCTAAACCCTAAAGCCCTAAAACCTTATAACACCCTAAACAACCCCGACCCTTTTGCCCTGAAGACTCCCCAGAGTGGATACATACCTTCCACAGGGGCAAACTTTTCCAGGTTGATGTGCATCGACAGTTTAGGGTTTAGGGTTTGGGTTTAGGGTTTAGAGCTTAGGGTTTGCAGTTAAGGGTTTAGGTCACACCCAGAAAACCATACCTAGGGTTTAGGGTTTAGGGTTTAGGGTTTAGGGTTTAGGGTTTAGGGTTTAGGGTTTAGGGTTTAGGGTTTAGGGTTTAGGGTTTAGGGTTTAGGGGTTCATGGTTGGGATCGCATGAAAATTTTAAACGTATGTTCCTTATTGGCTTTAAGTGCCCTAAAAAATGTAAAAATGTTGCCCAACTATGACCAAGATACTATATAGTAAGGGTACGCTTGTTGGACTTGTTGGGAGGTTGGTTACTTTAACCGAACACAAGGCAAAAGGGTACCACTAGGCTGGGGTCTGTTTTCTGGGGTTGGTATGTCGAAGCCTGCCTGGTGAAGATATGGTTGAGGTGCTGCTGCGCAACCTGACAGGAGCGGCAGAAAGAGATCGAAGCTTTTCGCTTAGCTGTAGTGAACCCTAAACCCTAAACCCTAAACAATAAGCTCTGGGGAAAAAGGCGCAGTTTCTCAGATCAGCTGAGCCAAATGCAAGTGGGGCCTTATTCTGGGTTGGGTGTAGTTGAGGCGTTTGTAGCATAGGATCCCTTGGCTTAAACACTGACAGAATACACACACACATGTATATATATATATATATACACATGCAGATAGCTAAGCCGTGCAAACAGAACTAAACCCCCTATAGCCGCTTCATAAAGCCTAAATAAGCCTGTGAGAAGCCCTAAGCCCTAAACCCTATAAACCTCTCATATCATATATATATATATAGATGTATATATATATATATATGATTTATTCACTTATCTTTTATTGTTTACTTATTTATTCCGTAATGAAATATATTTGTATTTAAACCTCATGGCCCAAAAATCGACCCCGTTGGGCACCACCTGACTGCAAGTCGACCAGCCCCCTTGGGCACTCAAGGGTCTGGCAATTCGTCCCGACATCATAACTAGACCCGGGAGTTAGGGTTTAGGGTTTAGGGTTTAGGGTTTAGGGCTAGACCCGGGAGTAACCTAGGAATAAAAGGGGCACCCTTTTTGGTTTTAAGGGATTATAAGGGACCCCCCCCCCCCCCCCCCAACCCTAAAAAAAGAAAAAAAGTGCCTACTCCCGGTCCTAGATCAAGTTTGAGATAAAACAAAGTGTGTGAGTTGGTTTATGGCAGCAGGGGGCGTTCTAGACTGCGATGAAAAGGTAAAGTAAGATGCATTCCGAATGGTATGGGATCCAAAGGGTGGGTGGGTAGATATTCTTAACTAGTGAATGCTTGAACTTGAGATGCGAAACCCTAAACCCTAAAACCTAAACCCTAAACTTGGCTTCCAAGGGACTCCCACACCTTCTCTGCCAGCTTCGTGAACATCCAGGACATCACCTAGGGTTTAGGGCTTAGGGTTTGAAAGGTTTTTGCAATTTCGTGGGCCTTGGGACTTGGGCCGAGGCAGCGAATGCAAGCGATTTCAGTCAAGTCATGCATCTTCAAACGAGGTTCCCTAAGGGTACACCCTAAACCCTTAACCCTAAACCCTAAACCCTAAACCCACCCTAGACAGTAAGCCCCTTTAATATGGGGCTTATTTTGGGGGCTTCTCGTCGGTACCCCAACCCTCCCTGCCAGTTCAGTTGGACTCCGGAGTCCAAAAATAAAATTTGCAATGCCTGCGGTATTCATCGCTCATGAGTGGACTCATAGGTCTTACAGGTTTAGGGTTTAGGGTTTAGGGTTCAGGGTTTAGGGTTTAGGGTTTAGGGTTTAGGCCTTCGGGAGGTTTGCCACCCATCTCGGAGTGTAAGAGGGCGGACGGGGCTCCAGGGCCTGGACGGACAGGAACCACACGTGGGACAGAGCCCCTAAATCCTAAACCCTAAACCCTAAACCCTAAACCCTAAACCCTAAAACCCTAAAACCCTATACCCTAAACCCTAAACCACGATGAAGACTTGGTAACACACTTGGCCGTTTGGCTCAGCTCTGGTGGAGCCCTCATGGAGGGGATGCCCTTGCCGGCTGCAACCTTGCCTGATGTACCAGTCTAGACCCCGGAGAAACCTAGGAATAAAAAAGGGCACCCTTTTCGGTTTTAAGGGGATTCTAAGGGAAGCCCAACCCTAAAAAAGGAAATAAGGGCCCACTCCGGGTCCTAGCAGTCTTGTTCAGCTTGGATAGAGCTTCTATACCCATGGACTTGGCAGCTTCAGAAAAGCGTCAGCGGCTACCCAGCGACTCCCGTGTCCCTCAAGTACTACACCCTAAACCCTAAACCCTAAACCCTAGACCCTAAACCCTAAACCCTAAACCTAGGAATTGAAAGGGTACCCTTTGTGGCTAAAGGGGCCTATCTAAAACCCTACAAAAAGGGAATAAGGGCCT